AGTTTTCTGGAATTGTTAGTAGAAAAGTAGAAATTTGAGGTAAGTGAGAAAGGGTTATATTATTAAAAGCTAGTTGTAAGAGATAGAATATGATAGTATAATTTTGTGTTTTTTGATAGTTTGTAAGTAACAAATTTTGAGTTAGTTTTAGAGACTATATTTTTGTTAACCAAGATTTAATACCTAAGATTCAAATATTTTTAAGAAGAGAGTTTGAAGTAAAAATTCGTTCAGTATTAGAAACACTAACTTTTTGAATAATATTATTTAGTGTTAGAAGATTAAATAAAAAAGAGTTAGTTAAAATAATATTATTAGTATTTTTTGCTAATGAAAGTAATTTTTTTGTTTGGATAGTGAAAAGGCAAAAAAGTTTAGTTTGAATATTTTTATAAATTTGTATAATTTGAAAAAGATATTTAAGTGCAGGTTGAAGTATGAGGTTAAATAATGAGGTAATTTGTGATGGAATAAGTTTTTTGTATTTGATAAAAGAGAAGAAATTTTTAATTTTGTTAAAAATAGTTTCAGATATTGGTTTAGAGGTACCGTTTCTATTATAAAAAATACCAAGATATCATATAGTTTCTTCAGGTTTTTTATGTATAATAGTTTGATTATTGTAATGAAGAATATTGGATGTTGGTAATTTAGAAATTTTGAATTTAGATTAGATATGTAAGAAATCGGATTTGGAAGAGTTAATTGTTATATTATTAAGATCATATAATTTTGAGATATCATGAAGAATATTTTGCATAGTTTCTAATTTTTCATAATACTATACAGTATCATCTATATATGCTAGTGGTGGAATTGTTAAGGAGAATAAGGGAGAGTTTGAAATAATATCAAGTAGTGATTGTGTTGAGATTTTTAGAAGTTGATTTTAATATTTTTGTGAAATAAAAGTAAAAATAGGATTATAATAAATTTTCCAAAGTAGAGGAGAATAGGTTTCTCCTTGTTCAATACCAGAATTGATATTAATAGGAGCAGTAAGGCCATGGGATGTAATAATATTTGCTAAGCAAGAAGTATGTAGCTCTGTAATGAAGTTGATGCTTTTTTCAGAGATACCAATTTTTCTGCATATTTTCTGTAGCCAGTTGATGTTGATCTTATCAAAGGCTTTAAACATATCTTGAAATAGAATAAAAGCTTTCTTGTTGTGTAGTATGTAATGTTCAATTGTATTGTGAAGAATTTGAATTAGTGTATGTGTAGATGAGTTTTTAGAAGCTGCAAATTTAAGTTTGAGAGAAGATTATTTGATGTAATAATTTTATCTAATCATTTAGTAAAAATTTTAGTAAGAGTCTTTTTGAATAGTTCAATAATTGAGATAGATCGAACTTGGTCAAGTTTGAAGTTCCAATTTGATTTTTTTAGAATTAAAAAAATATTTAAGGATTTCTATTCTGTTGAAACCTTTTGAAGTTGGAGATATTTGTTAATAAAAAGTTTAGAGATTTTTGTACTTTATGATTAGCATATTTTATATATTCATAGCAGATTTTAAAGGGTCTAGCTACTTTTTGATTTGGTAAATTGATAATAATTTCATTCTATTCCTAGTCTGAAATATTATTAAAGAGATTTTGGTAGTGTATTTCAAGTTCAGGATGTAGTTGATAAAGTTGAAAGAATTCTGATGAGAGTAGAATAGGTTGTAATAGTTTTTTCTTAAAATTGTTTGAAAAGTGGTAGTGAACTGCATTTAAAATTTTATTTTAGTCAGTAAGGAGTATGTTGTTGAGTAGAAGTCTGTTAATATTTATATTATTATATTTTTCTAGAATGTTTTTGTAGAAAAGTTTAGGAGTTTCATTAAAAACTTTATTCAGTTTTCAATTTTTTGTTGAATTTCTTTGTAGGTAGCTTGTTTTTGTTGGTAGTTAAGAGTAGTTTTGATAAGCTGAAATTCATTTTTGATTTGGTTAGATAGTGAAGAGTTAGTTGAGATTGAGTTGTCTGGGTATTTAGTTTGGTAGTTATAAAGAAGTATTAAAAAATTTGGAGATAATAGATAATTTTTAAGATATTGAATTTGTTTGTATCTATAAAAGAGAAGTAGTTATTTATTAGAAGAGATGTCATAAGCTTCCTTAATAGTTCTTATTTTTTTAAAAGGGATATGTTTAGCTGCTTTAGTTAAAGCTTTATGAATTTTGTTCCAGATATTGTTGAGTTGGTTTTGGTTTGTTATAGTATCAATTTGAGGAGCTAATTGTTGAAAACTTTAAGTTGTTTGATTAGAATAGTTTTCGAGTATTTTTTTAGAGCAATTTTTCTATAAATAGTATTTCTTTTTTTGTTGCTTAGAGGGCTTTGGTTTGTTGATGATTATAGAGATTTCAATTGTTATAATATTATGATCAGAGTCATATATATTATCAAAGATAATATCAGTATAATCAATAATAGAAGTAGATAGATTTGTTCAAATCTAGTCGATTTGGCTTGAGAATTGAGAATGATTAAAGGAATAGTTTTTGGTTTTAGAAAAGAAATGTTGATAGATATCTTTGTATTGATAGCTTATTAAATATTTAATAAGTTGAAGTTCTGGTATAGAAATTTTTTTAGGTAGATTTTGATCTAATTGTGTATTAGGGACTTCATTAAAATCTTCTATAATTATGATTTTATAAGTTACTATTTACTAACTACTTTTGATGATCTTAAAATTATTCTATATAACAAAACAAAAATATTCTTACAGATCTATTAAACTATACTTTGAATTGGTTTTATCAAAATATTTAGTCCTCAAAAAATATCCATTAATACTAATAGGAAACAGCCTAAAATATAACTTCAAAATCTAAAAGAAAAAAGTTTTCTTTTTCAACTTTACTTATATCAAAATCACTATACACAATTCAATAACAACTAATACTAAATACTTCTAATTTTATAAAAAATTAGCTTTTATATAGCTTTTTTCTTACAATATGTATTTAATAATATCAAGACCAATATCTTAAAGTTTTCTTCTAACTTATCCCTAGCTTAAAACTAATTTGAAATAATTATTTTAATCTTTCTGGGAAATAGAAAGTGTAATATCACATTAGATATCTTAAATATAGTACAAATGTCTTAGAAATTTTAACTATTATACATAGACTTAACTTTATAATTTCAATTAATAAAGTTTCTATTTTGGCATTATATATATAAAAAAAAAAAAAAAAAAAAAAAAAAAATTATTAATCTTATATTTTCTAAATTATACTATCTTAATATTAGTTTTTAATTTTAATATTTAGAGAATATGAGTTATGACTATAATTTTATTATTCAATTCTTAGATAATATCAAATATAAAATAAATAATTTTAAGAAGCAGTTAGTAATTACTTATCTTAAAAGTTGCTATTTATATAAAAATAAAATAAGAAGTTTAAGTATTTAGAATCTAACTTTTCAAATAAGAAGATATAATTTATAACCAAATCTATCTACTCATCTCTCTTACTAATTCTACTCTACATATAATTCAAGAATATATTCTAAACTATCTATATGCTAATATCTTCTGTTATATCAAAAAACCTATTAGTAAAAAATATTTTGTAGTATGTCTTCTTCTTCACAAAATATCTAAAAAAATATACAAAGATATATAGATCTCTTGATGCCAAAGCTCAAACTCTAACATATCTACCTCTATGAATACCTTTTCTTCTACTTCTAACCTTTATACCAACTCTACTAACTCTACAATACTTATACCTAAAAATATTAAAACTAATAACAGAATAGAATACTAGTCTAGTCTTTTTTTTTTTTTTGCAAACCAATTCTCTGATATTATACTTTGTTACAGAGACTAGTTGAGATCTAACCTTCTCTAGCAGAGCCTAAATCAAGAGTAAACTAGCTCTAGCTTTCTGTTCTTAGCTAATTTTTTTATAATTTTATATATATATGCTTATATAATTTATCTGATAAATAACAAAGGCAAGGCCTCACTCTTTAAAAAAAAAATATAAAAATAAAAAATAAAAAGATATAACCTATATATCTAAGCTTAAGAAAAAATTTGAGTTTAGAATATAAAAACTTTACTTATATATCTAAGCTAAATCTAAGCAAGTCTAAGTTATCAAACAAATATTTAAACCTAAAATTATACCTTAAAATAAAAAAACTAAGACTGCTAATGATACTAAATAATTAATATCTAAGATTTAATAAGCATATAATAAAAACTTAATTTATGAATATAACAAAAGTCAAAGAATAGTTATGCTAGTCATATACAGATAGAAAATATATAATATAAAGACTTATCATAAAATCTTACCTCTAATATTTGGTTTTGCTTCTATTATTAGCTAAAAAGTAAGGAAGACAAATTAAAATTAATAAAATATTAGAACAGATCTGTTTTATTTAAATTGAGTAGATTTTGAAATTCTAATTTGAAGTGAGTTTAAGATAATATAAGATATACTCATAACTAGCAATACACAAATGACTGATAATTAGACAGTGATTGCAGTATGAGATACTATATCTATAAATTTAGTATAAATTAGAATGATATTGATATTTTGTTTAAATATACAGTTATTTTCTTGAGTTGTCTTTTTTTTTAATTCATAATCTCTAGTTTTAGACTCGCAGAGGTTCGCCTTTAAAAGGGAGAATATGCTAAAGTTTTAATTTGTGTAAAAGCTGTGTGAGATCAAATAATAGCATGAAGCCTCTAACAGGTCAGGCCTCTTAAGATTGTAAAATATATAAAAGCACAGACTGTCTCATTTAATAAAAAGAGAAGCCCACGTCCTCCTTGATAAAGTAACATAAAACGATAATCTGCCTTTCCTTTATTCACAACTATCATTAATGCTTGAACCCCACCTGGTTAAGTGAGATATCATCGCGTCCAAACCACGTTAACTATTGGAGCTAAACTGTGCAATGTTACCCGCTCTCCCAATCTACAATAGTAACAATACCAAGTGAAATAAAAGTAACCGAAGATGTCATTTACGCTTTAGTTAAATATGTAATAATTAGTTAATTACAGGATGCAAAAAGTAACCTGTAAATAAATAAAAAGTATATTGTAAATAAAGGTCGTGAAGACCCTAGAGAAATAATAATTCTCCCTTCGCATAAATAAATAAATAATAACTTCTATTAAACTTCCCGTTAAAAAAATTTTTACTTGACCCCTTACATTTAATAAATTCCCCAATAAAATACACACACTAAACTACCCTAACCCGAGTTTATTGCTAGGCGGCATAAGCGATAAACCTTGTCTTTCGTTAAACCTTTGCTCACGTGACTCTTGCTAAATTCGATACCCGTCCAGTTGTTAACCTAACGTACTTGGTACAACTGTGGTTGATTTGTCCAGCTTGCCCGAAGTAGTGTGGTATAGTTGAGGTTAAAGAAATAATAGAAATTACCTGGATATAGAGATACCTACGCAACCCAAACCACCGACCAAATCTAAACGCCTCTTTTCGACTAAGCCAGCTGTAGGTTACGCAAGGAATTAGATTGTTGAGCGACCAACTCGCCGCTGTACCTGGTTTCAGTAGTAATAAGAAAGAATAAAGAGAAGTAACGTGACGCAAGCGATAACCAAAGCCTTGGAATTCCATTTGCCAAATCTAAACACTTTTTTCGATAAGTTGTCCTAGTACGTCATACGGAATACTTGAAGATTGAGCGACTGACTCGCTGTATTCAGAGATAACAATAAAATCTAAAAGCGATGTTTTGATCAGTTGCTTATGAGTTTTTATGAATAATGCTCCGAACTGATTAGCTAGAATACTCCCCAAAACCAACCTGAACCAGATCAATTTTGGATCATTTGAGCTAAGCTGTTTATGAGTATCACTTTATTATCACCTAATTTTGCATTCCAACTAAAAATTTCTGCTGTTACGTATGGTTAAAATTGCTCACGGGATCATCACCAGAATTTCCCACGATAATACGATCATGACAATAATTATGGAGTGATTAATACCTGAGGGATAACGTAAGTTACCTGATGAAGATAGGAATTAAGCGTGAGTAAGTGAATGATGTAATTCAGAGGTCAACGATAACTTTATCTCTAGACTATGATTAAACTATGATCTCTTCATATGAGGACCTTTACTATATTTCATTATAGTCTCTATATTACATAGTTGGTTCGTGAGAAGGGGTGATATATTATAAAAATGCTGCTTTCGTTAGTAAAAGAATAATTAACTTTTGAATCCCTGTAATTAAAATATTAATTAGTTGTATAATCGCTCTCCCAATTGATATATAATTTACTGTTCTATAAGTAAATACACACATCTTTCATGTTAACGGCCCGGACTAAATTGGCCAGAGTTCCCTAAATGCTCTCCCATACCGTAACACCGCCCATATGGTGACCCTAAGAAATCAGCGCATGAAATTTTGGCCTTCATTATGCTAATTCAGGCCGTCTTGGTCGGTTATTAAATCACTATTTGTCAGTTTCGCCACCTTACATTAGTTTCGCCACCTTCCTCCGGTTTCGCCGCCTTTCGCCAATAGCGAAACCTCTAGGTTTCGCCTAACAACTATAATTCTATTATCCGAATAATTTATTGGATTATTATTCTGATATGCCCACTTCAACCTATGGTTCTACTACATATCCCGAAATAAGATTCCCAAAAACTAATTGTCACCTTACAAGATGTAATATTCAAAGCCGCGATGATTAGTAATCACAATTATTAATCGCAGCGGACTTTAAATATTGCATCTTGTAAGGTGACAATTGATTTTTTGAATCTTATTTAGGGATATTGTGTAGAACCTCAATTTATAGTTATGCTTCTACTTTCGTGATTTTTTCTTCTTATTCTTTGCTGGTATCATGAATTAATAATTACTGATCGAACTTGTTAATCTTCAGATTTTTTAGATTTATTATTTAATATCACTAAACTTAATTCTCTGACCAGCACATTATTATTATTCCTAACGGCATAGCAGAAATCAATTGCATGCTTTGCAGAAAGTCGGCAAACGTTCGTGACAGATAATGTTATTAGTATAGATAGATTATCCGAACAACTATGCATTATCCGGATAAACTATCTGTTGAATGAAAGCATTATCCGTTATCTGGTATTATCCGGATAATTAGGAACACTAATTAGTTAGATGACAATATATAGATAGCTTCTAATAATATTAATATGTAAACTTGAACAAAAATAAAAATTGTGTTAAATAGCATCATTATCATTTTAATAATAGAGAAAAATACAAGTAGCAGTGCCATATTTATAAATTCAAAAGAAGAAACTAGGTTTTATTTATAATTTTAGATACATTTTTATAAATCTTTGCAAATACATATTTTTGTTTTACTACACTATAAATATTAATCTTATACCTCTCTAAATAAATAATTTAAATTTTTTTTTATAGTCTAAATGGTATCTGTAAAAGAATTGACTATATATCAAATATATTATAAAGTTAAACTTTAAGGAATAGCAAAAAAAGAAATATAATTTTCTATTTTTTGTTTTTGAGATTTAAGTTTTAAGCGATTAAAAAATTTTTTTTCTGATTTAACACTCTCAGCATTTTGTTCTTCAAATAAATGCATCGTGGGATATTCGGGACTAACATTTGTAAACACAGGAAAACAATCTTTGCATAAAAGGCTAAAAAATAATTTTTGTATATTTCCTTCAATAGAATAGTCTTTCCATTCTTGGCCTTTATACATTAAATATTTGTTTGAATTATCCCATATCATTTCTTTATATTCTTGTTCAGTAGTAATGATACCCCAGTGGATTTCTAGTGGCTTTGTGTAAATATCTACTTGCCTTCCTTTATTCTGAATAAAAATAATTTATCGTTTTAAGTTTTGGCACAATATCAAAATTTTAATAAATTAAATTGATACCTACCAAGTCAAATGCATAAACACATGGATCCCAATTGTGCTTATTTTGGCAAAAGTGAAGCCCAATAATAACACCAGATTCTGAGTCCTCATCAACTTCATCCGTGGATTGATATCTAAATGCACATGTACCAAGAAGACAATACCTTTTGTGACTAGGAAATTTGATTTTGGAAGGGCATCTCTCTGCATTTTCAGTACATTTGGGTTTATTGTAAAACTTTTGAATTGGTTTTTTTAACGTATAACTATTTAGTTTAAGGTTTAAAGATGGTTCAAAACTAAAATCAGTGCGAAATCCAACAATCATCCATGCAACTTTTACTACATGATTAAATTTTTGTTCCTTCAATTCTTCCACTTCTTTTGTTTTGATACATTGTATCACGAGACTAGCACTTTTATTATGGTAATATACCACATGAGCAGAAAAAACTTTGTGAATGCTTTTATCATTATAAACTGTCGCGTATATTTGATTATTTTCCATGTTTGCAAGGATATTTGAGGGAATGTTCTCAATTTTTCGTGTTTGAGGCTCGACAATATCCTTACTATTAAACCTTACTTCAACTATACCAGAGAGAAGTACTTCCTGCCCAAATCCTTCAAGAAATTGCGCTCGTAATTTATTATCTAACATGTCATAAACCGAAATTATTTCCGAATAATTAATCGGTCTCCATTTATCACAAGTGCGTAATGTTTCAGTCCATTTCTGTCGACTTTTTCTATCTCTAATATCTGGATCAGTTTCATCTCCACCAATGATCTTACAGCTGCTAATAACGTTACATATAGATGTTGACGAACCTTTTTTAGAGTTGTAAGATGAAGAGAAGTCTTGCAAGTTTACTTCAAAATTTTCTTTCTTAGAATTAGCGGATGTTTCACTATTTAATTCAACTCTGCATTGAATTCTTCCTCCAAACTCAGTAAACATAGGAACTAAAGTAATATTAATAGGCTATTCGTTTTTTAATGTTTGAATTTTGGATTATACTTACAAAAAAACCCAAATTCTTGCGATAATGCTTTAATTGCATTCAACCTTTCTTCATACGTTTGCTGTTCTAATACCTTCTTAATTGCATCTTTAAATTCCTCTGTTGGTTCGATTTCATTGCGCGGGATATTCATACTACATTTTGCACAATCAAAAACTTCATATCTATAGGATCCTGTTGTTTGTCTCCATTTTTCGCTAGAACTTTCAATATTAATACCAAATTTTAGTGAAGGGAGTGGCCAGGGCAGAGGAATGGTTGCATTAATTTTCATGTAAGGATTTTTAATAAACATCTGGTCAATTTCCTCTGCGTATTCGATTCGATCATCTTTCAAATATGGATTATTCATATCTATTTTAGCGACTATTTTATTTTTGAACTTGAATGCTTTGTTTTTAGCACGTTTAATATAACCATCAGACGTGAAGTAACAACCATGAAGAAGATTGTATTTGTTAACAAATTGGAAAGAACTTGGTTTCGTTGGATATTTCATGATATGAATGCAATTATCGTGAGCAAGGATTTTTAAGACATTAAGATTTTTTTCTTTATCAGGATGAATTTGTGTTTTAATATTTTCTTTAAGAAATACCATATTCTCACCCATGTAAACATTTTCAAGATTCTCTAGAAGTTTGCGCACTTCTGAGAGGTTCATGCTAGGCGTAATGTTTCCAAAATTATGTTGTGTTTGATTCGTATCCTCATGAATTACAAAATCTATGGGTTGATCGTCCTTTATCTCATTGGAAAAATTATTATTGCTAAAGATAGATTGTAATATTGAAGTAATCTCATTCATCTTTTTTAGAAGTTTTTGCGCGTTAGAACATATGATCCTGCTGATATTTAAAATTATCGAGTTTAAACAGAAATGGTGATATTAAACTTTTTCCAATCTGTAATACAAGAAATCAAATATATATTAGTAGCACAAATAAAATGCATGTTTGGCTATACCAGAAACAGAAATGTACGGTTATACGGCAATCGAGTGGCGTTGTAAAGGTCAAATCTGGTAACCCCGGAAGTAATACCAATCCGAGGTTACACTGACCGAAATTCTTGAAAATCTTAGGGCTTCGTAAAATTACTTCGCCTTCCCGTCTCTAAAATCGCCCGGTTCCTAAAAATCCAAACTATCCTAACCGAGATTTCTAGGATTTGCCAGATCCACCAAATATTAGAAATCCTAGTCCTGATTCCCCTGATCCCCCAGATTTCTCTTTTTCTTACGTTTTTCTTTATTTCTCTTATCTTTATTAATAAAATTTATGTATATAAATGACCCGAATTTACCTCAATAAAAATAACTTTCAGAGTTCAAATAAAAAAGACTCTAATAAAGTTCAGTGTTAGGAACCAATACTTCGAAATTCGAGTAGAAGTTTGGTATTGTGAGCTCCGAATCTTATATCCGAACTAATGATGCCTCTCGAAACTATTTGGGTGTGTCGAAACTGTTTCGATAAATCCCATAGTATCGAAATATCGATATCGAAACTCGAAAGTGTTATCGAAACTCGAAAGTGTTATCGAAACTCGAAAGTAGTATCGAAACTCGAAAGTGGTATCGAAACTCGAAAATGATATCGAAATTCGAAAGTCTATTAAAAGTCAACCATGCTTACCAAAGTTTGTATTATATTATTGAATCCAAGTTTATCAATTGTTATTTTATTTATTTATTTATAATATACTAAAATACTTCTAAAAATTAATATTTTTCGCGTACAGTAAGCATAGCGGATATTCGATTTGATTGGTTAATAAATGTAAACAATATACATATTGTCTAGGGTTGGGGGCATAGTATCCCAGGGCATGCCTCAGGGGCATGCCCTTATCATATAATTATAAATCTGAATCATGTGGAATTAGAGCACACTGAATGGCTATCTATTTTATTAGATTGTCTTATCATTTTGTAGTTATATGAGTCCTGTCAAAGAGTATACAGTTAGCCATCTACAGAAAATCTATCGATAATAAATTTTTCATAAATAACAAAATATAGTTTAAAGTCTAGTAACAGATTTTCCTTTGACAGCACTCTAGAGGTTAAACTCGAGTAAAAAAGACTACTATGTAGCTATCTGAAACATATAGTATTTAATCTAGGTAAACCAAGTTTAATAACAAACTTCAAACTCCATTATCTAAACAACTCTTTGATTTTCTTAAAACAAATCTATATAATTTTATACCCTGAAAAGAAATCAAACCTGCAACTAAAACAAAAAAAACATTTAAAGCTAGCTTTTATCAAATCATTAGAAATATGGCTAGATAATGATCTAAATTTTTAACTGATTTAATTTTTCAAAGCAACTCAACTATTGACAAAAATGTAACAATTCCATTTGATATCTTGGAATCAATGATAAAAAAACTTATTCATAAGTTTACAACAATTCTATTCACTAAACTAAACTACACTAAAATTTTTGCATCACTCTATATAATTCCTCTATACAAAACTAATAGTAGACTTCAGTTTTGTATGAATCTTGCCAGAATTCACCTTCACTTCTCTGAAAAATATCAACAAGCACTAAACTATACAAAGTTTGCAGAAGACTTCAATCTCTGCTCTATGAGATTCACTATATCTTCTGCAATTAATATATTTGATCAAGAAGGAAAATATCTCACAATTAAACAGGACAAAAAATTTAACATAACTCTTTTTTTCAATATTCCAAAAACATAATTCTTACAGAAATTTAATATTCTTTCTCTAAAAAACTCTTTAGAATATTTTGAAAACTAGTTCAAAAAATTCTTTTCAATTTACAACTGACAATTTGATGAACTTCTAAACAAAACAAAAGTATATAATGCACTTAAACACCAATTTTGCTTTCAATTTATCAAACAACTAACTCTGCTTCTTCTAATAGAATATGAAATAGTCAAACCTCAATCCTTTAATGACAGAAGAACCAAAAGTATTAAATATTCTAATTATTATATCTTAACTTGTCAGGATAAGGCTTGTATCTTTTTAGTTGAAGGAAAGTATGACTTTCTAACAGTTCTTAAAAGATATACAAATTGCTCTTATGAACTATTTTTTAAAAAAGAGTATAAAATCTGGAAAGAATCTACTCTTAAAATCAAAATATTCGAATATGAACAGGAATATGAAGCATAATTTTCTAAACTAGTTCTAACTCAACTTCTTGATTAACTTGCAAATGAAGCTAAAAAGGAAGTCTGTGAACTCAACAAAATAGAAACTAATGATAAATACAGAAGTTTTTATTTTTACTAATATCTTAACTCCTACTACTATGAAGCAGCAGTGAACTCTGAAATTATTAATATAATAAGAGATCAAGCTATTGAGTTTATATACACTAAAACACTTAACATATTTACATTAGCTCAAATTTAACATATTTTGATATAATTTGAGATATCTACAAATAGTTAAATTCTTTTCTAAATAAGCATTTCTATATGCTGAAAAATATCTTAAAGAAAAATATAATATCAACTTCCAAGAACCTGCAAACTTAGAAGATGCTCTGTTTCTTTCAGAAACTTCTTTCAATAAGGTCTTCTATATATATAGATGCAACCACTGCCTCTAATTTGAAACCTCATCTTACTAATAATAGTAAGCTAACTTTAGAGAAAAATGATGTAAGTAGGCAAGTAAGAAAGTCTATTTATGTAGCAACCCAAATTAATAACGGTCAGACTCAATGTACAAAGCAGACTATTAGATTCAGCACAGTTATGAAAACTGAGTATACAGTGAGCATATATATAAAAGACCTTTTAGTGCTTCCAATTCCAACATTTTTAGAACCCTTTGAAGCATTCACTTGCTATAATACCTTCTTAAAATATTATAATCTTACTCTACTTAAATCTGAACAAACTATTAAATCCTTTATGAAATACTTAAAGGAACAAAAATTCAATAAGCTAACAAGATTTTCAATTAACAAACAACTTAATGAAACCTATATTTATCTTCTTTATAGTGATAATATTCTTCAAGATCATATTCCACTAAATCTCTTTACTTTATCTAAATACTATAATACTTCTCTTAAAACTTTTACAAATATAATACTCTCTGATTTTGATAACAATTTAGATATCTTAAATACTGTAACAAATTCTTCATTATTATTATATACTAACTATAATCTTAATTTGAATATAGTAACTCATAATATACAGAGCTTTAATATTCTGACTAAAAAACAGCTTTGGAAAGAATACTGTCTAAAAGAAAACTTCAACATTACTAGAATTACTGAAACTAAACTTAATACTTCACAATTCCAAAAATTCTTAAATACTAAAAACTTATCTTATTTCTGAGCAAGCTTTGAAAACTCAGCTAAAGGAACTGCACTTATGATTAACAATAAACTAAAACTATATATTTATAATGTACTAATACACTACAAAGGAACTATTGCTATTAACCTTTTTTTCAAGCATGACTTCAAGTTCAGAATTATTTCTGTCTACCTCTCAACCTCTAACAAATCTCACTAAGACTCTGCTCAGGAAAAAGTTATACTATAGATACAACAAGCTCTTAGTTTAAATCTTCTTCCAATTGTTTTAGGAGATTTTAATGCATCTACTAATTATATATCTAGTGCCTCTTCAAAAATATATTTATTATCCTACTTACATAGCATCAATATATATGATCTGGCTGATTATATAGCTAACTAACAAAATACCTAGCAAAGCAGCAGATACAGTAGCAGAATTAATTATATCTAGGCTTATTACCTAACTATACAATTCTTAACAGAATTTTCTATGAAAATTCTCTTACTATAACTAATAATGATTATAAAATTCTAGTTTCTAAATAGTCCTTTCTTTTTGCTCTCTCTGGAAAACTTAGAAACAAAACTAACACTAAATGAAGAATTTTTAACTACAAAGAAATGATCATAGAACTGTGACAAGAATTTGCAGACCAAACAAATTTCAATTTACTAACCAACAATACTCCACTCTCAACACAAACAACAGAATCTTTAAAAACTACCTAGTACAAAATCCAAACTAGTATTATTCAAGCAGCTTTCTCTAAAATTCTTAACAAAAAGTTTACAACAAAAAACTTTCATTATGCTTTCTCTTCTAGAGTAACAGAGCTATATCTGAATCTTAAAACTCTAGGAGAAGCTATTCGAAAGGTAAAAAAATACCTAAACAATCACAACACTACATATTTCAATCTCTCTACAATAATTAATGATATTAATTCTCAATACTTCTAAATATTCCTCTACTACTACATGATACTAATTTAATTTCAAATTAGATTACTTCTACTAAAGACTGCTAGAAATCTTTTTATAATACTCAAAACTTAAAAAATAATCATCAAATAAAAGAGTATATTAACCAAGCTATAAACAGAAGATGTGACTTTTTTCAAACTAAACCTACTAAAATGATTAATAGCATTTTAGATAGATATAGTAAACCTGTATATTTTAATAATATTAAAACACTAAACAAAATCATAACTGAACCTTTAGAAATTAAATCAACTATCTAACAATATTTCTACAAATAAATTGCCTATTAAAGTTCTAACTAAACAATTTTCAACTCTGACTGGAGTAAAAAATACAAACCTTCTTTAGATATTAAGTCTAAATAGTATGACTCTGCACTAGCAGAAATTGATACTGAAGAGGTTCATAAAACTCTTAACAACTTATCTAACAACAAAGCCTGTGGACTCTCTGGAATTAGCTATAAAATGATAAAGCATTCTGGCTTAAACATAATTCAGGCAATTAC